CGACGTCAAGACGCGTGATAGTGGGAACACTGACACTCTCCGATACTGCGGCTCAAATCAGTGACTAATAAACCCTGGACTGCAAATCCTAGCAGTAGGAAGAAGTCGCATTCCCACGACAGACAGAGACGGAATCACCCACGGAAGTCCCGCAGCCACGACTGTAACCCCGAGAAAAGCCCCGCTTCCCGGCAGCAGCGAAGTTCTGTTTACTACCGCCTTTACCTCACTGGGATCCGGGCAGCTTTTCCTCCGCTTTCTGCTTTATCCCGAGAGTCAGCTGGAAACTTTTCTGCCCTTCCTGCTCTCTCCTCCCCTCTCCTTGCCTCGCCTCCCCCGCTGGCGGTCCGGGAGAAAAGGACCAGAGCGCAGCCAACTTCAGCGGAGCGCTTCCCACCTGCCCGTCCGCCTCACCTTCCCCGTATCTGGAGCTGCGTGGCGCCTCAACCAAACCTCGCCGAGCAGGGATCCCGGGCACGGAGGAGGAGGAGGAGGAGACAGCGAGTGCCCAACCGGACGGGCGAGTTCAACCGGAGTAAACGCGTCGTGATCAGGAATCCCCTGCTCCTCCGCAGCGCGACAGGGGAGCAGAGGGAGGGGTGAGAAGTTTTGCCGTCCGCGGTATCCGGGCGGAGAGAGGGAGGGCTGCGCCCAGCTCTGTTTGGCTCGGTCCAGCCAACCCCAGCCGAGCGACAGAGGGAGCAACCTAGCCTGCTGGAGGAAATCCAGCGCGGGGGTGGGGCTCCGGGAGCGCTTTGTTTGGTATTCCTTAGCTAGCAACCTGCGAGGGAGAGAGGAGAGGAGGGGAGGGGAGGGCAGGACACGGGACAGGGATCGGTGGCATAGAGCGCCTCCTGGCGGATACCTCTGGGACAGCAACCTTTTCGCGCTCGTTCAATGGACGTTTTTTTAATAAAAGTTTTCAAGGAGAGAATCACACTACTCTACCAATGCTGTATAGCTACTCCTTTGTTGTGGTTGTTGAACACATTGTACTGATGGGTCAGAAAAGTCGTGCTGTTCTACACGAAATCCACTGTTCGAACTTCACTCCCAACAGTTCAGACCCGGTGCTGGACTCCATCTCCTGCAGCTTGCAGGAAAACCTGGAGTGGATCAGACAGCTCTGATCTGGGAGTCTG